AAAAAAAAAAAAAAATTACTCGCTAAAGGATACGCTAATTTGGCCTTCAACAAATTTGATACAATAAGTACTAGACAAAATATTCAGACATATTGGTCCATTCGGCAAAGCTAGTGTTCAAAAAAGATAATACAAATCGGTGCACTAATTGGCCAAACGGATATTTTTTGACGATTTAGTTGAGTTGTTGGTGTACTATAGTCGAATACAAAATGGAAATATATACAGTGAGATATGTATTTCACCCACTGTTCTAAAAATCGGCCTAGGCGGCCGCCTAGGCGCTAGGCGATGCCCGGGCGTCTCCGATTTGCACAAATCGGCAGAAAAAATCGGTCAGGCGGCTAGGCGGTGAAATGTAGTCATTATATAAATGTCATCTGAAAATTTAGTCATTATATAAATGTCATCTGAAAATTTATTCATCTATAACTATGTGTGATCACAAATATTTTCGAATATATTAATGCAGGAAGAAATAGCAAAGAGGTAGAATTCTACGACTTTCTCCAAGTGAACGCAGACTCGAACAGAAGTGAAGTTATAGACAACAACAACAACAACAACAATGCTGCAAAGAAAGACAACTATTTAGAGCAAGAAGAAGAAGTGAACCAGTTAAAAGCAGCAGCTCAAATTAATCAGAAGAATTATAAGGAGGCTCGACCATTTATAGATTTCTTATCAGTTGGATCCTCGAATTCTTAATCTCTCGAAATCAGACAAAACATTTACAGCATCAGAGCTTAAGCAACAGAAAATTTCCAATAGTTTGTATTGCAAATTTAGCTTTGTTTATGCAGATAATCTAACTGGGATATGTTATGTATGTATATGTTGTATCATGTATGCACTTAATGTATGGATGCATGCATAAAAAAGAAGAAAGATGGTTTATTATTCTCATACATGCAGCTTATAATTATGTACTGATGAAGGGAAAAAGAGCTAAAAAAATATGAAATACGAAAAATAAGAAAAATGCAGACATGAAATACAACCATATTGTACTCTCAATTGGCTTTGTGTTTAGTGTTTACAGAGTACACCTACATAAACAGGTTTCGAATCGTAAAGTGCCCACAACGCCTCAACAAGCCAAGAAGTAAATCTTGAACCTGAAAATCCCAATCGAACACAGGCATTCTTAAATCAATGTAGTGTCTGGAGTGAGTTTTTAAAAGGGTTTTAAGTGTCCATCTCATCCTGTAATAAGATCTCGTATATATCGGTCCTCAGGTTCAGTTCCTTATCTCGCATGACCTCTTGAAGATCTGACAACTCCTTCACGGTCAATACAGAGTCGAGCTTCAGAAAACCATCCAGCCATAGCTTTTTAGACCTGCAAATTTGAAGCAGTGTTGTGAAATTGAAATATGGATTGGGCAAAAAAATGTGGGTGTTTTTATTTTGTTAGTTTCTTAGATTTCTGGTGTTTTTCGTGCATTCAAACCAATTCAAGAGGGTATTTTTCATTTCTAATCAAATTTTTTATTTCCATGTAAGTAAGAAATCAGTTAAACAAAAACACTAGTAAAAAGGTAGGTTTTCTTACCATGGGCACGCGTGTATTGCTCGAAAAAACACTCTTTTGGCTGCAGTAATATTGTTCGCCACACTCCTCTCGAATTCGATGAAGCAACGCCAAAGAACTACCGATTTGTGAAATTTATCATCCTCCAAAGCCCTTTCGAAAAGCCCACGTATTCTGTGCTGTGATCCCCCGGTGCTCAATTCAAACGTTAATGCGTACAGCAATGTGATGACAGATGGTTTCCTGATAAAAATATGCAAAAATTCGAGCAAATTATATAAGCACTTTCAAGACGGCTTCTCCAAACATCACAAACATATTGTCCGTGTCTAGTTTTGTAATATTAGCTTCCTTCAGAATGCAGAACGAAAAAATTTTACTTACCAACTGTTTAATACGACAAAAAATGGCACGTAAAAGTTATAAAAAAAGGATAATATAGTTTTACTTTTGATACTGATCATCGAGAGTCCACCGCAGTTTATTGGGCGAAGTGTGGAGATGGCTTATTTCAACTAACGCCTTGTGCAACTGTGGATTGAAAGGATATATCTGTAACCCTTTTACAATAGCTTCCCATACTTTTGAAATCTTGAGCTCCGCGTGATTTTTGTAAAGCAACCCAACATAATAGCTGAATAAAAATTCAAGTTGCCTACTCTGCCGCCTCATCTCTGCAGTAAAGTACATAATCAGCATATTATGAATAAAAGAGAAAAAAAAAATGGCTCAATATTTTAAATGTTATTGAAATATTATTAATCCCGTATTGGTTAGCAACAAATAGTTCATCTAAATATAACAGATTTATACAGTTTATTCACCTGGAAGCACCATAGTAAAAGAAGTTTCTAGAATTTCCAAGGCAGAAGCCCATCCATGAGTCAACTCTTCGAATAATGCGGCCGAACATATGAGAGCAGCTGAACTATCATCTATTGCACCACGCACCCATGTTGAGCTTAGAGCTTTTATACGATCTTTGAACCCCTGACGGGCTCTAAGTTTTTGCAGACTTGAAGGTTGACCTTTGAATGGAGTGTATGTTGAGCCACTACCGAAGCAAGATAATATATGCATAGCACGTACTGAGGATTCAGAATTTTCTGAGGGGTTATTTGCAAGCTCCACTTCTGCATACCACAAATACAAAAGAGATACGTTTGGCCTGACATCCTGAAAATGAAGAACAAAACTCATTATGTTCATTGCGAAACAGAACACGAGGCATTGTCAGACAGAAATGTGTTAAAAGAAAAGATGAAAATCATTTCCAAATATGCCACTAAAGAGAAAAATAATTAATAATCAATATCATATAATTAAGTCAAACTGAACCAAATTAAAGCAAAAGAGACCCCAGAACAGTAAACAAGACCAATAATTCATACCTGAGGAAGCCCTTCAATAGATGACAATGCCATGTCAAAAACCTTCCTTGAATGATCAATATTCCCGAAGAATGCTTCTCTTTGAGCATAAATCCCACATAGAAGTACATCCTAAAATGATGACAAACACCAAGAATGTCAACCTTCAACACAGAGCAGTCACTACAAGAAGTAATATGCATCAGCCTCAAGCTATCAAGTTATGGACAGATCGATGATATCGATGGCGGATGGCAGATAATACATACCTGCCGATTATTTTTCAAAAGTGTCTTTGCTAAAGCTCGGCAAGGGGTCACAGAACAGCTTGTAGTATTCATCCTGGTATTTGTTAGCTCTTCAGCAACAAGAGCAGCTCTCTCCAAGATGTAATTTCGTGGAAATGCTTTTAAGCAAAGTAATATTGCATTCCGGAGAAATCTCATCATGCCGCTCTTCATATTTGTGTCATCTGAGTTGTTGTTCAAAAGAAGCTCCAAACTCACACTTCGCGGATTTTCCAGCTTACTGGTCAGAAATTCGTGCATTTCTCTCAGGTCCTCCACAAGAGAACAAGAAAGACTGTCTAAACCAAGTGTCTTCTGGACCCAACTCGAACTGTTTGTGCAGGTCCTGTTAATATTAATCATATTCAAGAAATTAAGAGTGGAAGACTATCTAATATCCCCAGTGAAAGAAGAGATGGCACAATTTAGAAGAACAAGCAGGCTCATGTAGAACGTGTTACCATAACAAATCATGTTTGTATACAAGAACATGGCAAAATGCAGCATTCATAGTCATGAGACCTACCATTGAGCGATCCTTCCTTCATAGAAGTCTGTGAACTGAGATACAAGAGATAATCGAGCTTCCTCAGAATTCAGTGAGAACAGGTAATCACTCACATCTTCATATAAAACTACTCTGAACAGATGCTCGCCATCTCCTGCGGCCACTGTGTCGTCATCCTGAGAAATCCGGTCTGTTTTGCCAACGTAATTCATTATAGCAAAAAGCGAACACTCAATTGAAGTAAGGTGAATATACCATCACAACAATCACTCAGCAGTCAGGTGCTAGTACACATATAATGCGTAAGACGTTCCCTTTGGCATGTAGAACAGCAAAGTGAAGAAAAAGCAACAAAAAACCTTAACATTACACTACCATCTCATTCAGCAACTACTAGAGTTTTCAGTACCAGTTACCACAAATACACATCTGAAATAGTATCCAAATTTGAAATATAGGTCATGTTTCTTAATACAACCAACTTCTTTGAATCAAGTGGCGAGAAAACCTCCAGGTCAGCTTCAAAGATGGAACAGAGCACAAAATGAGGCAAAATAAATCTCATAAAGAAGAAAACAGACCAAAAAATGTACAAGCCATACCGGTATTTGCACGAAGAGGCATCCACTGATCAAAGTCTCTATCCATCTCCGCCTTTGACCATTTAGTCCATGTTTCTGTATCTTTTATCTTGATATCACCTTCAGCAGCAGCATCAATCCCTAGTGCTTTAAGCAGAGATTCAATGTCATCCTTCATCTCAACATCTTTTGCACCAGACCCATCATCATCAAGTTCCTCACCAACCACATCTTGCACAGCAGTATCTTCTGGCATTTCAGTTGCTCCGGTTTTAGATGGGGGTTCAAACCAACCTGTCCAACCACCTTCATCAACAGTAGTCGAGCTCTCCTCGTTAAGAAGCCTTTGCCTCTCTTCTTCCTCTTTCTCCAGCCATGTTGACCATCCAAGGGCTCCATCTTCTCCAATTCTGGCACCATTGCTACCCCAAAAGTGCTCAAACAGCCTTAACTTGCTTTGCTCGGAAGTAACCAAAGGGCAAAACAGACTGTACTCTATCTCTGCCTGAAACAAGGCAGTGGCCAACTCTTGATAACCTGCTTGCCACTCAAGGCGGCAAAGAGCAAGAAAAATATCAACCAAACCGAGTTCTAATTGAACAGTTGCCTGATCAAGAGGAATTGCACTGCCAGATTGTTGAGCCTGCATCCACAAGAACATTTAGGAGTCTTGATCAGAGTTCAGAAGGTTACAGGCCAATTTAATTGCTCGAAGCAACATATGAAGAAATCCAAGTTTTAAGATATTTCATGACTACGTAAATATAAGGAACACAAACAAAGAGAGATGACAGAGAGAGAGAGAGAGAGAGAGAGATTGCAAAGCAGCAGAAGAAATTATGGATTATGAAAATGAGAACCTGCCTATGCTGCTTTATGCAAGCACCAGCCAATGCTTGGATTGCATTTCCGTACATTTTCCTCATTTCAGAGACTTTGAATCTGGAAAATTCACCCTGAATAACCTGCAAAAATTCCCTCCACAGCTTGTAACTCCCAGAATTGGAAGTCAGTATCGTCTCCCATCTCCGTATCATAACATCAGTACTGTCTCTCCTCCGATAAGCATTCATAAGAGAGAGAATCAAATCTTCACTACCCGGATTAAACTCGGTTGCCTTCTCCAGAATACTGATCTTCTTCTCAAGTGTCTGCAAACGAGCACCTTTATGAGGCTGCATACCAGCCACCTTGTCTTGAAACTCGGCAAATGCCAGCCATACACTTTGATCACGAGGACGCTCCCTGGTCAATTTATTGAACTCCTTTGTTTTTCTCAGGACCTCGTCTTCCCAGGACTCTTCAACCACTTTCTCACTCGAAGCTGGAGCATTATCAGAATCCTCAGCCAGTAAGGGGATATATTCAGCATCGGAAATCCTCACAGGCTTGATGGGAGCAAGAACTCGTACTCGTTTCAAGTTCTTATGCTGTTCAATAGCAGCATATTTTGCAGACCAATAACGACCCCCGGACCTAAGTTTTGTATCTAGTGCGTCTATATCAATATCCCCCTCCAAATGGCTGGCCCCCTTGTTTCCCCTGAAATAGTTGAGGTTTGAAAATTTCTCGGAACCGTAAAGCTTGTATCGTGCAACATCCATCCTGAAGTTCATCATGTACACAAACGCCAAGTTAAAGCACAATGAATACAAGGCCATTTTCACATTTAGAAACATCTGTCCACTTGAATGATCGGTTGATTATCTAAAGTTCTAAACTACATCATCTTCAAATGCAAGATAGAAATTTGAATGAAGCTAAGGAATTTTGATATAACCACACAGATGGATTTTATGACTCAGGATTTTTATTTTGACCTTGAATTTTCAGAATATATCAACATTTCACTTGAAACAACATAAATTTCCCCGAAATCAACAACCAAGACAATCATTTTACAATTAAACAGTACCACTAACGTGATTCACAAAATCAACTTCAACTAACATTGAAGCTGCCAACAGAACATTTTAAGCATTGAAAAAAAAAAAAAAAAATTCTTGTAACAAATTAGTTCAACTCACCTGTAGATGCAACCAAATGCCAAATTATCTCGATCCCCACGAGAATCAAAGTAATAGCCCTTCTCGTTCGGAGTAGACGAAGGCGAAGCCCATTTCACAACACCTGTTTTTCTCGAAGAAGATGAGATAGTCGCAGAAAAGCTGTATGATGATCGCGAGCCACTGGGTTCCTCTTTTCCCCTCCTCCTCTTCTTTCTCCTCCTCTTCCTACGCTCTTCGTCGGAAGAAGAAGCGCTTGCATCCGACGGAGACGAAGGCACCATATCGTACTTCGGCGGCCGTTTATTGGCATTAAGCTCTTCATCTTTATCTTCCTCTTCTTCTTCTCGCTGTTCGATGTCCGGGGGATTGTACTTGGCGACGGCGTCGTTTATGACGGAGAGGTCAGCGGTGAAGCTGGTGCTTTGAAGCCATTCTGGCGCGGCGGCGGCTCTGCTGGGGTCCCCGGGGAGAGCTTGCGGCGGTTGGCTGTGTACGTAAGCTGGGAAGAGCGAGGTCGTCTCGGTGGGAAGGTCCTCTTCCGCCATGGTTTAGCGCTAGATTTCTTGATCCAATTTTACTTCAAATACATGATTGGACCTACAAATTAGAACCCATTCCTACTATTAATAATTATTTTTTTTTTCTAAAATTTGGGTCTCCTCAAAGAATTTAGATTTAAAAGTGTTTTTTCATTCTTTTTCTTCATTTTTTTTTTTTATTTGCTAAGTTAAATATTAAGCATCTGTAGAGATGTTAAACGGGCTAGCCCTTGCGGTTTTGGGTTGGCCCTGGCGGGCTTCGGGCTAAACGGTCCAGGCTTAAAAAGCCCGAATTTAAACAGACTACCAATAAAAGGACCTAACCCTAACCCTAGCGAGCTAAACGGGCTATAATAATAATAATATATAAAAAAACATATAAATAAAAATTACAAGCGGACTTCATGTATGAACACTAGTTACAAACTCTTAAGTGACATGTTTTTCTCAAAAGAAAAAAAAAAAATGTTCGAACTATTATTTATAATTACCATTTTACTACTTATTTTTGTAGGCTTTGGAAATTTTCACGATATGGTATCTTACTACCAATATTTTATCATTATGTTCTATGTGTTAGGTCTTTGTCTCATGTGTTTTCTATTAGCCGTTTTAATTGATTTAAATAGTTTGGTGTGAAGTAGAATAACGAAATTGTTAATAATTATCTTCCAAAATCATAATAACCGGCTACAACTCATAGTTACATATGAAGTAGAATAGTAAAGTTGTAATATACAAGTCAAACAGGCTAGCCCTAGCGGGCTTCGGGCTAGCCCTAGCGGGCTTCGGGCTAGCCCTATCGAGCTTCGGTCTAAACGGTCTGGGCCTAAAAAGCCTTGATTTAAATGGGCTACTAAAAAAGGCCCTAACCCTGTTTTTATTCGGGCTAAACGGGTCGGCCCGTCGGGCCAAGGACCGTTTAACATCTCTACATCTGAGTAATAATAATATTTTTCTTTTTGGTACAAGAAAATGAAATCGAAGCTAAAGCTAACGCTCGATCACAATCCGACGTGGGTGGGCCACGCCAATAATATCATGGTGTAACCAAGAGCCCGCTCCCAAAGGAGGCCGATCAAACCGCTGCAAACCACCTACTCCCTTGGCCGCTAGAGAGGCCAAAAAATCCGCCACAAAGTTTGTCTCACGGTGTCCATGAACAATCTCGAGCTCCCACGGACGAGCCATTAATTCGTTAATACCCCTAATAAGACTTCCATGCGGCCCGGTGGACTCATCACCATTAACCATATCAATAATGCTCTTGTTATCAATTTCCGCCACAAATTTACGAGTACCAATATCCCAGGCTAACTGCAATCCCTGGTACAAACCCCATAGTTCGGCCCCCACAATAGAGCAAAACCTAATATTCATCGTAAATTCACGAACCCAGGCCCCACGATGGTCTCACACAACACCCCCTGCACTAGCCATTCCCGTAGCCGGGACAAAACTGTCATCCGTATTAATCTTCAAAACTCCTTTCGGCGGGGCGGACCAACCTCAAAATAATAATAATAATAATAATAATAATAATAATAATAATAATAATAATAATAATAATAATAATAATAATAATAATAATAATAATAATTAGTTAAGTCAATAAAGTTGATATCAGTTAAATTAGTCAACATCTCTTCCATCCAAAATCTCCAAGCAAACTGTACTTTGCAACAAAAAATGAAGTGGTTCAAAGTAAAATGAGTGTGGTTGAGTCAATACAGTTCAAATAATGGTCCCAAGCAAATCAAAACTAGATAAGCAACTAATCTGCACAATTTGTTATACCTAAGTAACCTAAAAAGAATAATCACACGATTACCAACAACAAGAGTGAAGACTTTCTTCCCACCACAGACCAATTTCAATGAAAAACTAAAAAACGAAGATAAAATCCTACAGATACATATTGTTGGCACGATTACATCACATTCGTGATAACAAAAGTTACAACTCGGCAGAGGGTTGAAGACAAAAGTTCCAATCACCAGTCATTGCCAAAACAAACTCGCCTTCCGTTTTTTGACCAGGCACTTGAAAAGCTACAAATCTGTTGGAAAATTAACTTGCAAGTTAATGGGCATAGGTCAAAACTCAATAAAATATTCCCTAACCAAAAAGGTAGCTCTCGAATTCTGATAAATTTATCGTGAAATGGTCAAATGTTTTCAGGATGATATTGTTTCGTAAGGATATTGCAACCATGGATGTTAAAGCCTTTGAAGCTGAGGGCCTTCCTTTGGGTTGACTTCTAGAAGATAAGCGACAAAGTCAATGAAACCTCGGTCTCCCATTGGTAGATGATGTCTAAGAGAGGACTTTTTAGGTATCAAGTAGTCAAGCCTGTTTGATTCCTTAGGAACATCGGGAAAAAAACATGAGGATGTGAAAATATGTGAGAAAAATATTTGGAAAAATAAGAATGAATTTGGAATGTGAATGGATATATATAATATCTCTCTTTATATATTAATTCAAAACGTGTTGAGCCTAGGTGACAGATTCTCACGCTTCGGATGTTGACATGACAAAAATCTATGCTTCGTGATGTTGTTTTTGTATTATTTTTGCTCTAGAGTTAGGTTTGGTATTAGATATAAATAACTTTACACATATATTCATTAATTCAATACCTATGTTGTAGCATTGATTTGGCCCAACTCAGGTCAGGCCACAGTGGATCTCACATCATGTATGCTCCTGTATGCTTCTTTAGTTTACTGGCCATGTCTAGTTGTGGCAAGTTTGGTACTAATCCACCAATTTGCATCAGACTTGTCACAACTTTCACTTTATGCTCATGGTGTTGGTTCGAGTCTGGGGAAGGTGATGCGAACAAAGTGATCGCGAGGCCGTCACGAGGACAAATCCAGGGAGCTTCTCAGCCGTGACACCCCGTTGCGCAGCGACAGTGCAGAAGATATCACACCGCGAGCTAGGTCACGGGGACCGTCACAGTGACAAAGGCTAAGGGCTAATACCTCGTCGCACAGCGACGGTCTGGAAGTTAAGGATAGTTAGCTTAGGCGATTGTATTATGTGTTTAAATTTGAATTATCATGTAAGTTAATGTGGTTTTCTAAGTATTTAGGGAGAGTTGTATCATTATAGTAAGAATCAAGTTGAAAGTAATAAAACATAAAAAAAAAAGGACTCATTTTTGAGTACTTTATTCGTAACAAAACAAGGTCATTACTGAATAGTGTAAGTTTTTTATATTATATCGTTTTCCAACCAAAAGAAGTTCCTACACAAAATCAGTACTATTACCGTGTACCCTGACACACGTAGCAAGGTGTGCCAAGACAATTTAAAATGAACATGTTAACTTTATAGAATGAACATGTGTAAATATGTTTAAACATGTTTACACATGTTCATTATATAAAGTAACATGTTCATTTTAAAAAGGTCTTGGCACACCTAAATATTTACGACCCAAAATCGGATACACGTTCTTTATAAGAGGACTCGGCTGGGCTCAATTTGTCGCTTTTATCACACCAACGCTCAGTTGCTCCGTTCAGTTAGTTTATAAGAGAACTCGGCTGGGCTCAATTTGTCGCCAATGCTCAGTTGCTCCGTTCAGTCGGTTATACAGTGGATTGATTATTTTAATTAGCAGGGTACCATCCAACCAACGCACCGTACAACATCTATTTATTCCATCCCCGCGCTCGCTCCTTTTTCCCACCATCACCGACCTGCAACACCATTTCCTCTTCCCCAAACAGCCATAGCCAAAAGCTCCACGAACAGGGGCAAAACAACAATGGGCTCCCTCCCTCCGCCACTCTCATTCCCCGATGAACAAGACAAGAACCCATCCAACCCGAAATTGGACCAAACCCATCTCCTCAACCTCTTCAAATGCCAGCAGAACTACCTCAACCATTTCTTCCAGAATCTCGACCTCACGCAAACCCTAGCCTTCACTCAAACCCTCCTTGACGCCCGGGGCACAATTTTCTTCACCGGCGTCGGCAAATCGGGGTTCGTCGCGCAGAAGATCTCGCAGACCCTCGTCTCCCTCGGCGTCAGATCCGGGTTCCTCCCACCCGTCGACGCCCTCCACGGAGACATCGGCATTCTGTCTCCCGACGACCTGCTGGTGATGTTCAGCAAGAGCGGAAACTCGGAGGAGCTGGTGAGGCTCGTGCCGTGCGCGAGAGCGAAGGGTTCGTACCTGATATCGGTGACGTCAGTGAGCCCTAACGCGCTGATGAGGTCGTGCGATCTGAATGTGCATTTGCCGCTGGAGCGCGAGCTGTGCCCGTTCGATCTGGCGCCGGTGACGTCGACGGCGATCCAGATGGTGTTTGGGGATACGGTGGCGATCGCGCTCATGGGGGCGAGGAATCTGAGCAAGGAGGAGTATGCGGCCAACCATCCTGCCGGGAGAATTGGAAAGAGCTTGATTTTCAAGGTGGGTATTTGTTTTCTATTCTTTTTTTTTTCCCTTCTTTTATGTCAGGCTTTGTGATTTGGTTGTAATTATATATAATCGTGGTTTTGAAAGAAAAATTTGTGAAGAAACACTGTTGGTGGGGCGTTTAGGCTTGGATGCAGGATATATGTGTGAAGAAGAACGTAGAAGTTTCAGGCAGTGATATTTGCAGCTTGAAACAGTGTCGTTTTGTAAAGCTTCTTTACTAGCTGGGGAAAATTTTAATTCGACTTTGATGTCATTAGAGTTACATACAAGACCAGTGTCTTGTATATTTTCAAGAATGTTGAATCTCGATGGTTTTAGGTGAAGGATCTTATGAAGAAGAGAGGAGAGCTTCCAGTTTGTCGGGAACGAGATATGATCATGGATCAGCTGGTAGAGCTAACCAGCAAAGGGTGTGGATGCCTTCTTGTTATAGATGACGAGTATCGTTTGCTTGGTACATTTACTGATGGTGATTTGAGGCGTACACTGAAAGCTAGTGGTGAGGGGATTTTCAAGCTCACAGTGGGTGAGATGTGTAACAGGTATATCTCTCTCTCTATTAGCTGTCCCTTTCTGTTACTGAGATTACAGAAATTAGCAATCTTTTCTGTTGAGAAGATGAAATGAAGACAAGTGCATGTTAAGATTACACTTGTATTAACTTTCTTCTATTCATTATGTATTTTTATGAATTCTTTCCTTTCCTTAACTGAGAACGATTGGTAACTCAGCTATAAATCCGCATAAACACTACGAAATCTAGTAATACAATCAACTGTACTTTGACTCTGTTAATTGAGCTCCTTTCTGATATCTCAAAGAGTTGGAAAACAATGTAATTACTATTAGTATTTGGAATAAAGAAGCAATTTTGGCTCAAAGCTAGACTTACATATTGTGTTACTCTAAGGACGTTGGAGTCTGTTAATTGAGATCTGCAAGCCCCATACATGTTAGCAAATTGCTCATATTTCTTGTTTTCCTTCTCCTGGTAAGGACACAAGGATGCAAAACCTTCACACCTTACATGTCTTGTTTTTATGAAGTCTATATTGAGAAACATGAACATTCAACATGGTACCTCTAACCTTGTATCTAGTACAAAAGTTCCTGTTTGTAAACTGATTTCCTGCGGCTAATAGTTTCACGGTTAAAATTAAAGATTGTTGAAACAATGGTTGGAACTACCCCCTAATCAACCTAATGACTTAGTTTGCGCCACATGTGAAGCTTTTTAGTTTTTTTTTTTTTTTTTTTTAATTCATATATATAATTTTTTATTTTTTTCATTTGTTATAGGTGGCCTATACTTGTCTGGTGAAAGTTCAGATGCCAATCCACTCATGGCATGACTAAAATTTGTTGGATGGACCCAGTTTCTTGTGTGCAAACAAAAAACAAGCACTTGTCCTTTGTAGGCAAAACTGGGAATATTTTGTATTTTTTTAGTTCACAACCCAAAAATTATTCCTTCCCCACCCCCTTCACGAAACTTCTCGATTTGATTAGGCAAAACCCTTATGGGTAGTGTTTTATAAATTATAATATCTGTGATATATGTTGACGCTCTCACCAAGAAAATAGATTTTGAGTATATTTTAGCTGTGTGATCATAACCATCCATGTGTGATCATAACCATCCATCCTTTGCAGTCATGATCATCTATTATTTGCTTGCCATTTACGGAGAAAAGTCAAATAGATTTGAAACCTTTCTTTTTGTTTATTTTTAGGAACCCAAGGACAATAAGTCCCGATGCAATGGCAGTCGAAGCTATGCAAAAGATGGAAGCCCCACCATCTCCGGTTCAGTTCTTGCCTGTCATCAATGACCAAAATGTCCTCATTGGCATCGTTACATTGCATGGCTTGGTCTCTGCTGGCCTTTGATTTGCTTTTTTGGCTGTCGAACGTGAGCCATTGCCTATCTTTTTTACTTCCGATGATATTCTACTATAATTCTTTGTATTCTTTCCAGCTTATACGTAATGAAGTTGTGTACTGTGCTCTAGATAATACTTTTTCCTGTATTAGCGAATATTAGGAGAAGAACTGACTTGATTGTGTTCTCTGTACTTGTAGTTCCTCTGGAACTTGGAAAGATGATTATGTTCTTGTATCAGTGCCTTTGAAGTGGCAGCTGCAGTTGTACAGAAATATGATTATGAATGCTATTTGTGCTACTAAATTAGCCAAACCCCAAATATGGGTGGATTTCTTAACTCGGGTTAATTGCAATGTTGGTCCTCCGGAAAACAAAGGGTGGCATAATTGGTCCCCTATGTATTTTGTATTTCAATTTAGCCCCATGTATTATGTTGTGATTGTGAAGTTCATCTAGTTGAACCTTGTGTTAAATCAGAAGTGAGTCCTATTGAATTTCATGTCTAGATCGAAGTATAGAACTCAGTGTCTCTAGATTTTAGGAATCTTTTTACAGGTTTAATTTTTAGATAATTTTTTGTTAGTTAATTTTGTAGTAGTTAGTTGTCATTAACTATTAGATTATCATACAATTTCAATAAATTGTGCCAAATTAAAATGTTGTTAATCAGATTATCATACATTTTCAATAAACCCTGCCAAATCGTTTCACTCAATAATTTGTATTTTCTTAGTATCTTTTAGAAAGATTTTTTTTTTTTTTTTAATTTCTACTATTAATTCATGTTTAATTTTTTCATGCCTAGATGCATGAAATATCAAATTGTCATTTTTCTTTTCATAATTTATAAATAGATGCTCTTATCGAAAATTAAAACAAAAATGATATTACTTATTACCAATTAAAATTTACTAATGTTATTCGTATGATTTTGCTATGAAATCAATAGTTGGCTTCATAGTGGAGTCAACCTTCTATATACAGTAAAAGTTACTTATTGTTATCGGTCTGTTGGAATTACTTAATCACTACTATTTAAAAAAAATTAAGATTTATTTATCACAATTTACCCATTAATTTTATTTATAAATAATATTTTGACATTGGACCAGTAAAATATTTTTGGCCTGCATAAACAAGCACAAATTAATTTCAAAGATTTTAGCCCCTTTTGCCTTCTCTCACACATTGAAATGAGAGTGTGGTTTAGCTGAAAGCGCCGCCCATAACCACCCATGATGGCCATGCCTCCGCCGCCAATCGCCGCCGCTCCACCAATTGCCACCGCGCCGGCACCCTACTCTATCACTCCCACTAAAAAAATTCCATATTTTCACCACCACCACTCACTGTCTTCTCCACCTCTCACTTCTTCGGTGAGTACTTCGAATTCTTGAATTTCAGCCCCAAATGTCGCTCAATTTGTTCTAATATAGAAAGTTATCTTGTTTCTTTCCTTTTATGTCTTCCAGATTTTGTGGAACCCAAGTAGGAGTACGCTTACTCATGGCCCAGCTTCAAGAATTTTGTTAAGCCGTCCTCTTGCTATAATCTCGAGGCACTCCTATGGTAGTTATAAGAAATGCTCTTAAGAGTTTGTATAACACAAATGCCATATAAAACAAGATTTTTTTTTTTTTTTTTTTTTT